TTAACTAATATACTTCAAATTTTTTTAAGAAAAATCAATATTCTTCAAAAAAAATAAATAACAATAACGTTCAATCTTTACCAATATTCTTCAAAAAAAAAAACAATAATGTTCAATTTTTATCTTATCTAGAAACCCATTTCATGATTAGATAAAATTTTTTATAAGAGATTTATTTGCTACTCCACAAATATATAAGATAGGATGATATTGAAGATTTGTATACATCCTCTCAAAAATATAATTTTGATTTTTTTTTTCAATTGTAAATAGACAATATATATATATATATATATATATATATATATATATATATATATATATATATATACAAAAAACACAAACATGTGAATATTATTTATCTACTCTTTTTCATGGTGTGAATTTTTTTCAGGTCTAATTCGTTGATTAACAAAAAATATTGGAAATAATGTAAGTATATCAAGGCTTTCTAATGGTAAACAAAATAAATTGATTATTATTCATTATTTTATAAGATGTATGTTTTGTTTTATTTTACCTAATCTAATTATGTTAGTTATCGTATTAAATCTTGTTAAACAACTTAATTGTAACTTAATATTAATTATTCTGTATTTGAAGGGATTATGTCCATGCGCCAATTGAAAGAAATTTCTTCAAGCACTTATAAATCCAAAAGAGAAATGTGTGGATTGGAAAAGTAAGGGCCTCTTCTCTTCAGCTTATTTTCAGTTCAGTTCAGTTCATAATTTCCTTCTCTCATAAAATATTCAGTTCAATTCAGATTCAATCAGTTCAGTTCAGTTCAGTTCAGCTCAATTCAGTAAATCAAAATAGGTCATAAGTCAACTATAATGTTACAATAGTAGGGAAAAAAAAATTAAAGATTGTAAGAGATGTCTTTGATAATTTTGATTTTTTATGTATTATAGTTTTTGGTAGAATATCTATATTATTATTGTAAAAATCATTGTAGTAGTGTATACATATAACTCTATTATTAAGGACATATGATAATGAAATTTCATTATAAAGATTTAATTTTATTCAATTAGATTAATTTTAGTAATGCAACACTCTTGGTAGTATATATATATATATATATATATATATTTTATTTAACTATTTAAAAATTTATAAAGTCATATCTTTTACCATTACTCTCACCGTCTTTATTTTAACCTTGTAGTTTTGGGTTTACTTTATTAATTTTTCATTGTATAAAGTTGATACGGAGTAAAAGAATAATGGTGGTCTAAGTTATTGTTTGTGAAAGAAAAATAGTGATTCTATAACTATATATGTATAGTGGAACAACGTGTTTTCATTATACAAACAAATCATAGGTTAAAAAAATACGAATAGGATTATGATTTTATTCTAATATTTATCATACTTATAATTTTCATATAACTAATCTAATATATCTAAATAAAATAGGCATTTTTGGAGAGCATTTGGCGCGCCACATAAGCAAAGATATTATTTCGACCAATTAAAAGTTAGATTTGTATTTTATTTTAAAATTAAAAAATTCACTCGCCACATAAGCAAAAGTGACGAATGAAATTTAAAAATTTTGCTATATGTCAAAACGACGAATAATGATTTATTAAGATTTAAATTATTTTAAAACTAAAAATTATCTTTTTTTAAAAGATGATCTTTTGATATTAGGATTTAAATTAAAAAAAACAATAAATTATACAATTATGATATAAAAACACTTTAAAATTAAATATTTGAAAAAGGAAAATATGTTCATTTTGTTTTTAAGAAAACGTTTAATCAATTTTTTAAAATTTTTTTTTACAGAAATATAAATTATTAATAATTAACTAATATTCTACAATTTTTTTCTTAAAAAATCAATATTCTTCAAAAAAATCTAAATATATATATATATATATAAAGTAGGATTTTTTGGAGAGCATTCGGAGCGCCACGTAAAAAATATAATTATTTCGACCAATAAGAAGAAAGATTTGTATTTTATTTTTGAATTAAAAAATTATGTCGCCAACTAGATAAAAGTAACGAATTAGATTTGATATATCTAAAATTTTAATGCCACGTAGATTATAATCCACATATTAGATTATTTTAATGAAAAAAATAAAGTAAAAATATAGGAAAAGATAAATTTATTAATTCAATACTACGAGTATAAAAAATCCAAAAAAAATATACTAAAGTTTTTAAATGATAAATGCTTATAATAAAGTTTGATACCTATCATTATAAGATAAATTTTGATAGTATTTATGACAAGAAATACAAATTGTTTGTTAATTATAATTAAATTAAAATTTGTGATACCTACCATTATAAATTGACACATCATGCGACACAAACAAAATTTCGTATCAATAAATAACCCATCAAGAGAATATTGTGTTAGTAATTTTGTGTTGATTTTTGATCATCAATGACCGGGTAATTTTTAGCTTAATTTTTAAAATCCTATGTTTAAATTAGTATTTCTAATTACTATTTACATTGTATTAATTTGGGATACTCAACGATTATATGTTTATGTTTTATTTACTAAATGGTTTTTTTACATGAAGATCTAACACATCATACGATACATATAAAATTTCGTATCAATACGAAACCCCATCAAGCGAATTTTGTGTTAGTAATTTTGTGTTAACTTTAGGTCATTAATGTTTGGATAATTTTTAGAATCTTATGTTTAAATTTATATTTGTAATTATTAGTTACATTGTATTTATTTAGGATTTTTAACGATTATTTGTTTATGTAATGGCATACGATTAGATGTTGTATACTTAATATATGGATGACTTTGGTTATTTTTGGAGATGATGAAAAAATTCCAATGCATAGGTTTGATTTTATATCGCAACAATTTTTTATTTTAGGTAAATATATTGATTTATTTTATATAAATGTAAAGATTTAATTTATATCAATTTCAGTTTGGCTAACATTTCACGGTTCAATTTATCCATTAATTTAGTAGGTTGGTTGTGGATGAGGTTGGTGATTCTATCGAAATAAAAGATATGGTAAAACAATAAATAATGATTTAGGATTTAAATTATAAAAAATTATCATTTCACATTAAAGATTTTATATAACGGAAAAAATATCATATTTAAAATTTATTTATATTCAACAAATTCATTATAAATTATAGTAAAAAAAATAAATATTAACCTTTTGTAATGTTGTCTGAAATTATTAAATACAATAAATCAAATAATTAAAAATGTTAGATGAAAAAAATGTGCGTCGCACGGGCTTCCATCTAGTATTAAGTAAATTAAGGTCGCATTATAAGTTGTATAAAAATAAAACAAATTATCTATTTTCTAAAAAGCAAAATAATAAAAATTATTGGGTTAAATTAAGAAAATAAAATTTTCATGAGATTTATGTATAAAAAATCGTGCATCGCACGGGCTTCCATCTAGTATATGATAATTGTTATCCCTTATATCCAAAATCACGTCAACGTAGTATGAATATATAAAAAAAAAAGAAAAAACAATTTAAAAAGATTAATCATATAGATAACAATTAAAAAAATGATAAAATTTATATTAAGAAATAGTTAATGTAAAATGAATTTGCCTTCCTTTTAAGTTAATACTTCGTATGACATAGTAATATAGCCAGCATAATTGTTGCATATCAACTTCTCAACTTTATTTGGTAGTTGTTACAAATATAATGGGGTTCTTATCCTTTGTATCCACTTGCATACTAGTATAAAGTAAGTGTCTATAAACAAGGCCATTCACCTTTTCCAAATAGTATCATTAATAATATAGTTAATGTAGCCGTAAAACCGTATCTGTATATAAAAATCATTTATGATAATTAATATCATAAATATTTGAAATACTTAAACGTAGTATGATATACGAAAAAACAAAACGAAAAAAATAATAATATGGATAACAATTAAAAAGGATTAGATTACTGTTTCAAAAATATAAAAAAAATTAGCTTACAAAGAATGATAAATTTTATGTAGAGAAGATATGATTTATTGTATTTCCTTAAATATAGGCCTTAATTTAATTCACAGTACATGCACTGCCAATTAAGCACACATACATAGAAAAATATTAATTGGTTTCTTTTCATAGTCGGAGACCCAAGCTTCATGACTTCACAAAGTGAAATTTACAATACCTTTGGGGATGCAATGGTAAACAAAGAGACAACTAAGGTTGGAGACGGAAAAAAATTAATCTTGTCACCGTCATTCACCGGAAGCACAAGAAATATATACCAGAATTACAAAGAAACGATATACTCTACACACTACATAATTGGGGCTGAAGAGGAGAATAGGATAATCCTGTCAGTGTCATTCACATGATACCCAAGATACATATACTAAACTATAGATAAATAATAGAGTACTCTACATAGAGGTGTAGAAGAGAGAATTCTATTTGAACCTCACAAATTTTTTTATTTTTTTAATATCTTATTAATAAAAAAAAAGTTTTTAATTGATTGCAATAGTTTATCAATGATAATAATAATAAGTGTCTTTTTGATTTATGACTTAATGTGTTTTTTATAATAATTATTATTATATAATAAGATATAAATCTTAAATAATAATAATAATAATAATAATAATAAAATAAAATAAAACAAAGCCGTGCAGGGTTCACACCTAACACAAATATTAAGTTGTTGCAGTGCTTTGCTGGAAACGATACATTGTCTTCCCAAAATATCACATACCTATATTTTATTAAGAGTAGAGTAGTAATCCGTAATATATATACTTCGTATAATGCAGTTAACTAGTAAACCCAAATAAACATCAAGAAAATAATAGATTAAAACCTCACAAATTTATTTTGTTTTAATATCTTATTAATAAAAAGAAGTTTTTAATTAATTGCAATAGTTTATTAATAATAATAATAATAATAATAATAATAATAAATGTCTGTTTATTTATGACTTTATCTGTTTTTTATAATAATTATTATTATAAAAAAAGATACAAATCTTAAATAATAATAATAATAAAATAAAATAAAAAACAAAGCCGTGCGTAGTTCACACCTAGTATTAAGTATTTTGAACTCAACTAACTCACATAATTCCATCAATAAAACTTTAAAAAACCCAACGCGTCAGCGTCATTTAAACACAAATATTAAGTTGTTGCAGTGCTTTGCTGGAAACGATACATTGTCTTCCCAAAATATCACATACCTATATTTTATTAAGTTGTTGCAGTGCTTTGCTTGGAAACGATACATTGTCTTCCCAAAATATCACATACCTATATTTTATTAAGAGTAGAGTAGTAATCCGTAATCCGTAATATATATACTTCGTATAATGCAGTTAACTAGTAATTGAATAACCCAAATAAACATCAAGAAAATAATAGATATGATGAACAATAAGCTGCAATTGTTCAATGTATTCTTTCTCATCGTGGCAACTATTGTAGCAACAAAATTAATACTCAAAACTCTGTTAATCAAGAGCAGCAAACGGCTACCACCAGTGGTGAAAGGGCGGATTCCTTTGATCGGGGGCGTGGCTCGCTTCGTAGCGAACCCTGTAGAGATGCTCAAGGAGGAGTATGAAAGCCTTGGAAGTGTATTCACTATAAATGCAGTGTACAAGAATATAACGTTCCTGCTCGAACCCGATGTATCGGCTTATTTCTTCAAGGCCGGCGAGAGTGAGCTCAGTCAGAAAGAAGTGTACGGGTTCACCGTGCCTATCTTTGGACCTGGGATCGTGTATGACGCCGAGTATTCAGTGCGTAAGGAGCAGTTTCACTTCTTCGAGGAGTCTTTTCGAATTGATAAACTCCGTGGCTTTGTTGATTATATGAGCCAAGAAGTCCAGGTCTGGTTTTTATTTTATTTTCTCTATCTTTGTTACGCTCTCTGTTCCTCAATAAAAATATTCACGCGTATATGGACTAGCATAAAAACTTATCACTTGATTTCGAATACTCTATTTGCATTCTTCATATATTAACTTTATTTACTTCTATAAATACACTTTAATACACTTTAATACTCTATTTGCATTCTTCATAGATTTTCGAGGTTTGACTTTAGGGCAATTTCGGGTGGTTTCGGGGTGGCGGGTTGAAGTGTAGGGCGGTTTCGGTGGTGGGGCTGGGGAGAGGGGGTCTATTGCGGTCATGTGGCTGTGGAAGGAGGGTGGTTTTGGTGGTAGGACAGGAGGACGAGGCGGTTGTCGGGGCTGAAGCCTGGGTAAGGGGGTGGCTGTGGCTGTCGGGCAGGGTAGGGGCTGTTTAATTTTTCCTTTTTTTTTTATTTTTTTTATTTTTATTGGACCTCTCACACGCCGACAGGCAAATTACCTACAATAATAGGTTGTTGACTTTTGTTGACCTGTTTGGGATTGTAAGAAGAAAACGGAGGGGAAAGTTGGGATTATTGCAAAATAATCAAAAGTTGAGATTATTACAGAATAATCAAAAGTTGGGATTATTAAAATGTATTTTTCGTATTATATATATATATATATAATTGTTATTTTGTACAAGATAATTAATCCCGCTATATATTTAGGTCCTGCTTGGTGAAAGTAGCGGTAGCGGGTACTTTTTAGTAGTCGAGTAGCGGGTAGGTGTTAGGGTAGCGAGTAGAGGTTAGCTGTCAAAGTAACGGTTAATCGTATGAGTGTTTAGTAAAAGTAGCGGTTGCAGTACTAAAATATATCAAAATTCATATAAATATTGTTTAAAAAGTAATAAAAATTTGTCAAACGCTACCCGCTACTTCTAACGCTACTATTTTTAACGTTTGAGAAAAGCTACCTAAACGCTACATCTATCGTTAACCGCTACTAGAATCGCTACCTTGCCAAATTAAACACTATCAAATTTTTCTAATAGTGTTTTGACTGGTCAAAACACTAACCGCTACCTCAAACGCTACCACCAAACAGGACCTTATTCAAATAATATCAGCATTTAGTAAAATTTACAATTTTTCGTGTTTCTGATTAATGGTATGGAGTAACACTTTTCTGTTTCATTTTTGTAAATTATTAAATGTAACAATTTTATTTGTCAATTTTTTTAATCAACACTTTTATTTTTTTATTTTTTTATTAGGACCTACTATTATAATATTTTATTATGATATTATATTACTATTATGTGTAAAAAAAAAATGTATTACTTCGTCTAATATTATTATTCTCCCCTACTAACCGTCTAACCTCACTTGGACTATTATTATACTAGCATTACTTTTCTTTTCTATTATTTTTTTTAATTCCTCGTTTCTTCCAACCACACCTCACACCTGTTTTTTTTTTCATTATTACTCTTCTCATCCACTGCACTAACATGTAAATATTATACTAAACCAATTATACCTTAAATTATAATATCCTCATTCATTGACCCATACCATACATAATGTCTTAAAATATGTGTCAAGTCTAGTGTTACAATTAATAATTAATAAAGAGAGTAGAAGAGAATAATGAACTATCAATGATATGACTTCTATTATGCATTACTTATTAAACAAAGTAGCAAAAGGTTTTACATCGGCAAGTTTGTCGTTCAAAGTTCTGCACTATTATGAAACAATGTAAATAATAATTATAATTTGAATTTTGGTATTATTCACAAATCCCATGCACTTTGATCATCTTTTTTTATTTATACTGCAAGTAAAAATGCAGTCAACAGGTGTGATATTTTTAAATTCATTTTTATATGTATTTTTAAATTTTTAAGCCCTAATATTATATTTAGTCTTTAGGCCAATGTTTAAAGCCTAATATATTTTTAGGTTGTATATAAACCTTGTCATACATGAATACAACAAAGGAAAAATCAATTCTGAGGGTCTGAGCCACACCCGTCATGAGTGTCCACTTTATACAAATAAGGAGGTTTCACCTCAAAACCATATGGCAATAGGGAAGTAGCCCCTTTAGTCTTATAAAGTGGACACGACTTTCTTACACGACTTTAATGAGGGATACACTTCCCAACACTTACACCCTTTCAATGTGGGACAACACTTTCACTCACATGTGGGTTTGCACATGCGCTCAACACTCCCCCTCACATGTGAGTTGTCCATAATACAAGCCCAGATCACAACTCAACGTGGGACAACACTTACACTCACATGTGGCATTACTTGTTATTAGCACAGGTTAACCGGTGCTAATAACAAGTACCCACTTTTTTTTTGTAAGAAAATTCACTACTTTGGCACCGGTTAACTAGTGCCTTTAATGCCCAAAAAAACAATTTTATTTTGTTTTTTTTTTTTTTGCTTTTTTTTTTTACCTGAAATTGTCAGCAGACTGTTATATATATGTATACATAATATACTTGAAACTGATTATTTCATTGATAGCCTGTAATTTTACACTTAAAAAAAATGAAAAAAATACATTGGATATATTCACCATAACAAGAGCAGCAACAACTTCCTACAATCACTAGCAGAGTAGCAGCACCCCAGTAGTAGAACAACAGCATCACAATTGGTAAATAGTAGCAGCTTCGAAGCAGCAACACATAAGAGAAATGCTGCGTTCATTGTAGGCTATAAAGCATCCTGAATGCAACCTGAATAATCCATTGTAGGCAATAGAGTATCCTGAATGTAGCGTCCATTGTAGGCAATAGAGCATCTTGAATAATCCATCAAATAGCAAAATTTCAGAAATATTCCATCAATTATAATTAATAAATAATTGCTGCAAGAAAATCAACAAATAACTATAAGAATAATAGGAAAAATTGCCTAGAATAATCCCAATGTTGCCTCATTCGCCCAAAATAATCCCAACTTTCGATTATTTTTTAATAATCCGAACTTTAATATGAATTTGCTTCTAATGGTCTCAAATGACCGGTAACCAGTTGAGTAGGTAAGTTTTTTTTTAAAGTTTAAGTAACACGTGTCATCACGTGATTGGTCAAAAATAAGTTTTAAAATTATTAACACTTAATTAACTACTTTAAAAATTAAATAACAAAAATTTATTTTCAAAATAATAAATAATACCAAATTAATGCCAGCCACCAACACCAAACGCCAACCCAGCCACCTCCACCACCCTTCCTCCCCAAAGCCACCAGCTGATTTGGGTATTTTTACCCCGCCACGTGGACCAACCAGAGCGTGACACGTGTCACCCTAGGAAGAGTACCTCTAAGATGGCTTCACAACAGGCTGTACCGCCTCCTAATGAGAAACGGCCTACGACCAAAGCTGAGGTTTATTCGGACCATAACAGTGATGACGACTTTGAAGTCGAAACGTATGTGGCCGCTGATGGGTCACTCAGAAGTAGACGCACCTATCCCAAGGAAAGAAGGGAACGAGGCAATGATCAAGCTAGTCCAAGTAAGTCATCCGGACAACCGTGGGAGATAAAGGACCTGATCAACAAGAGGACGACTGGCTCCAACAGGGGTTAGTCAGCCAATAAACCTTCTCTCTCTGAGAAGAACAAGCCAGTCAAGGACCGAGAGCCCACTCCGCATCCTAAATCAAAGGAGGGGAAGCGGCCTTGGATTGATCTTTCAAAGATCCGATTCCTTGAGACAGGGAAAAGGAAGGTCATCAAGCATGTTCAGCCGGATGGCTCAAAGAAGACATACTCTGATGCCCGGTTCCTAATCGAGCAGAAGAGAAACCAACAACTGTCTACGTCGTATTCAACGTTAAGTTATCCAGACAGCTTTCAGAATACCTCAATGAGGTATTCTCAATCTGTACGAGAGAGTCAGTCAGGCTGCCCGTCCATTTAAACTGGCCCTTAGATGATCCATTCGGCCACGTATGTGCCTCAACAGCTAACATGTCGTATGGACAACCTTACCTGCAACGAACCGACCCTCTTTGGTGGTCAGGCAGCGCAAAACGTCCAACCTTTGGACTGGCAGCTAAAACTTGGGAACCAACCTTCAGCATTCTCCAAGGAAATAATTGAGGCGACACAGCCGGCCAAGGTTAAGAATGTCATGGTCGGTACTTATGATGGTACCACCAACCCTGAAGACCACCTCATGGCCTACACCAACCTCATGTACTTACAGGGATGGGATGACGCCACCTCGTGCCGATGTTTCTCGGCTACATTAAAGGGCATCGCCCAACAATGGTTCGACAATTTGCCAGCCGGCTGCATCAATAGCTTCAAGACGCTTGCGTTCTTGTTTGCTTCTAACTTCTCTATGAATATCCCTGCCAAGAAGACAAGTCTTGACTTGGGTGTAGTGCAGCAGGGGGATAGAGAAGGGCTGCGGTCATACGTCAAACGGTTCAACCTGGTGAGAATCTAGATTCAAGGGCTGTCTGACGATGTGGCTTATACAGACTTCTTCAAGGGTGAAGGACAGGTCGACTTTTAAGTTCGATCTCGTTAGAAAAAGGGTTGCGACCCTCCAGGAAGCGCTGATGGAGGAGGAAGCCTATATACAGGCGACCGAGCTCTGCTCCATCAGCAAGCAGTCGAAAAAGAGAGTCGGCAAGCTCACCCGACTAAGAAAGCTGAAGAGAGTTAGAAGAGAAAAGAGATCTGGGCGGTTGACGACTCTGATCAGCTATCCTAGAAGAAAAAGAAAGAGTTTAAACCATACGTCCCAAAGTACGAGTTTAACAAAGACTGCTACTCCATCCTCATGGAGATAAAGGACCGGGTGACCATAGAGAAGCCCGCTGCTATGAAAGGTTCCGCCAAAAATCGGAACAAAAACAAGTACTGCCATTTCCATAAAGATATTGGCCACGACACCAACGACTGCTATACTCTCAAGCGGCTGTTGGACCGTCTGGCTGATAAGGGGGTGTTAAAGTCTTACATCCTGAAGTCTAAGATGACTCTAA